CCTCCCCCTGGCCCCCCACCCCTGGCTGCCAGCCTGGATGGGCCCCCGCCCCCTCCTCCACCCTCCGACACCTCCACATCCAAGCCCAAGTCATCCTTGCCYGCAGTCAGTGATGCCAGGAGTGATCTGCTCTCAGCCATTCGCCAAGGTAAGGCTGTGTTTCTGTGCCAGCATTCTCCTTTGCCTTTGGAAACCCTTGGGAGCTGTCTCCTGGCTGCAGTGTGACTGCCCTGCTGCTCAGGGCTTGTCCCGTGTGCTCCCTCCTTGTCTGCCCACCCTCACCAGCAGCCTGCCGAGTTTTAYACTCCCCCTGCATCTTTAGGGATGGCAGTGCTGGAATTGGGGTGATCCAGCTTTGTTGGGGATTGGACAGCAGTGGGGTGACCCCTTGGAGAGGCACAGAAAGGATTTGTTTCCCGTTCCACCTCCTCCCCCAGCCCATCATTCACCACCACTGCTGTCCCAACACTCCCTTGCTCAGAGCACTGTGACAAAGAGGATTTCAGTGTGACCTTGGCATGATGGTTTCCATGCCCTGTCCCCCAGGCTTCCAGCTGCGCAGGGTGGAGGAGCAGCGGGAGCAGGAGAAGAGGGACGTGGTGGGGAACGACGTGGCCACCATYCTGTCGCGCCGCATCGCCGTGGAGTACAGCGACTCGGAGGACGACTCCTCGGAGTTCGACGAGGACGAATGGTCGGATTAGCCACGCTCCAACCCCTCCTCCCCTTCTCTCCAGGGCTCGCTTCTTACAGAATCAGGTGGCCAAAGCTTGCACCACATCCTTCCCATCCCAGAACCAAAGATGTGCCAAGCAGCAGCATATCTCCCTCTCCCTCCCCTGCTCTGGCAGGACTTTGTGCTCTGCCTTTCCAAAAGGTCTCCTCACGGACACGGAGGATGCGGCACTGGGATTTAGCTGGAGGGGGTGGAACGCTTGCTTATTTAAAAGAGAGCTAAAGCTCCAGATTTTCGATGCCACCAGGCAGAGCACATATAAACCCTCCATCCTGAGGGATTTTTAAAGTAAAGATGGATGATCCTGTTGCGGCCGCGTGGCCTTTCGGATGAAGGACATTTTCAGCTGGTTTTCTCAGTGCAACAGCAGACAGTTGATCTGATGGCTCTTCCTTGCCAGTGAATACTGGTAGTGCTGCAAGAAAATGGGCTTTAAATGTCAGTTCTCTGCTGCATCCCACTGTCAAATAATCAGGTTTTTGGCAATAGTGCACAATTCTTTCCCCTCTGACCCCTGAGTATTAATTCCAGATCACCCTGTGTGGGGTGCRCTTCCAGACTCAGAGGCTGCTCAGTGCCTTGGGTGCAATGTAGGGAGGGACTTTTTTATTTTAGAAGCTGCCTTTACCTTCCTCAGATCTCCTGGACTGCTTTGCCMAGAGGAGACTTGCACAGAGGGATGTAAAACCGGGGCAGGATGGTTCAGCTCAGCACTCTTGGGAAAGCAGAGCCACTGCCCCACTGAGACACATCTGTGGTCAGCTCCAGCAGTGGCCAGACCCTGCTGGGCTGATTTCTCCAGTTTATGCTGAGATTGTATTTTAAAATTCCAAATCCAGTGCCTAAGGCGGGGAGATGTGCTGGGGAAGGGTTCTCTGAACACCAAGCCCTGTGGTGGTCTTTGGCCTGGCCAGGGCAGTTTGAGAGGTGCTGTTTTTTGTGGGGTGACTTTTCACACAGGAACTTCAATGCTGGTATTGCCTTTTCTTCTCCTTTCCACCTAGGGAGGAGAGTTTGTGTGCCTAAAAACATTGCTGTGTGAACTGAGTTGCCCATCAGTTATATCAGACCTAACCTACCCTAATTTTTTATTATAATTCATTAGTTAATTTTAARAGAACGTTTCTTCTCACTAACCCTGTGAATTAATTCCCAGGCTGCTCACTATAGATCCAGTACCAGCAGGGGAAAACGGGGAGTTTGAACTAGCTGACCTCGGTTTTATTGCTGTTTTATGTTGCCTTACATAGAATATGAGCATATCTTGGAAATCTAACCCAAATACCCCTGATGTGTATTTTARTTTGGACATGACTTGGTCAGGGTCATGCCAAAAGCAATTCCAAAGCCTTTCTGAGGTTATGGGTCCAGCTGTTGTGGGTGTGTCCCACTAAGACCAACTGTCCCATCTTTTTGCCTTTCCTGAAGTTTTTCACCAGCCTGTGCCTGCTCTCCTTCCCTGCCTCTCCTGGTTTAATGATCTTGCTGTACCTGGAACGCCCGAGGCTCGCTGGAAATCCTGCTCTGCAGCTGATTGATGGCTTCAGCTTGTGCCATCGACTTCTCACTGAATCCTTGTGTTTGTGTGTGTGTGTGCATTTTAATCTTGGCCAGGGCACAGATGGAGGATGGGCTTTGAGCTGTGGATGGAGCTGGGATCCAGTGAGACCCCAGGGATTCCCGGGATCCAGTGAGACCCCAGAGATTCCTGGGATCCAGTGAGACCCCAGAGATTCCCTGGATCCAGTGAGACCCCAGAGATTCCCGGGATCCAGTGAGACCCCAGAGATTCCTGGGATCCAGTGAGACCCCAGGGATTCCTGGGATCCAGTGAGACCCCAGAGATTCCTGGGATCCAGTGAGACCCCAGAGATTCCCAGGATCCAGTGAGACCCCAGAGATTCCCAGGATCCAGTGAGACCCCAGAGATTCCTGGGATCCAGTGAGACCCCAGAGATTCCTGGGATCCAGTGAGACCCCAGAGATTCCCTGGATCCAGTGAGACCCCAGGGATTCCCCGATGGCTGCAGCTCAGGTTTTGCCTGCAGTGGGATGTGGAGGGTGGGCAGCCAGGGATCCCGATGGGCTGGGAACATCTGAGCAGCACAAATTCCAGGGTCTGGAAGAGGGAGCAAAGCCCTGGGTGCAGCAGAGAGAYGTGGAAATGCAGAGGGAGGGGTGAGGGAGTGAGAGAGGCTCTGTCTCATTGTGCTGCTGCCTCTGACAGCGTTCTCCTCTGGCTGTTCCCAGAGACAGTTACGGGAAAATGGGCCCTGAGCTAACCCGGGCTGACAGTGGGATCACACAGGAAAGCAAAGAGCCACAAACGCCAAACCTGCCTTAGTCTGAGATTGCCTTAACTGGACTCAGCCCCTGTTGGGAGAGGGGACTGAGTCTTGCTGTCGCCTGCAATAGGGAGCAGTGCCATGTTCTGTGACCCGTGGGTGCTGTGCCAGGCAGGGCCGTGCCTGGGGCACAGGAACATCCCCTCACCCTCTGCTGTTGCACAAGGATGCTGCTTCCCTGGGTGGCACAGCCGTGGCTGGAGCAGCTCCTCGGCCTCCTGGCAGCAGCAGGGACGCTGCCGTGCCCCTGCAAGCTGCTGGAAACACCCTCTGCTCCCAAATCCCATCCCAGGGCRGCAATCAGAGCTGCAGCATTGCAAACAGAAGGGCTGTGGACAGGTAGGGAAGGTTGCTTGCTGGAGTGTTTTAAATCTCCCTTGAYTCCTGCTGGTTTTTTTGTTAAATCTTTGATTGCCGAGCAGGCTGAGCCTGTGTGGGGATCCCTGAGAAGCAGCTGCTSTGGAGACCATCTCTGTGTATCGTTGCAAAATCGCAGAGCTCTGGGCCACCAAGTGAGCTCAATGTTTTTGAAAGCAGCAGGGGAGGAGGAGAGGTGCCAAAAGCAACCTTTGCAAGACAGAGCAGCTGTGCTGGAAGTGCAGGGCTGCCCTGTCATCTCTGCCCCYGTGTCGTGGGCTCTTACCCTTCCTCCTCTCCTCCCCATGAGGCTGGGGTGAACCCCAGGCATTTCCCAAAATACAGAGCACAAACTGCTGCTCTCCACGAGCTCCTTCTGCTCTCCAGTGCAGCCATTTCACCCATCCTGGGAGCCCCTTCCCTTCCCTTCCCTTCCCTTCCCT